TTTTAGATTTAAAATGACTCTTTGGTCTTAGGATGTTAGAGAGCTTCTTGAGATTTGCCTGATGGGTAAGATTTGAGAAGTCTGAGCCAAGAATAGAGAAGAAATTATGTTAAGAAGAAGGGAGAAAAGTTTCCTATCATATATTTGTCAACTCATTAGTCTATACCAGTTTTGTTAAGTGCAAATATAATGCAAGTCATATATGCAATTTAAACTTTCCTATTAATTGCATTAAAAAAATTAAAAGGAAACAGATGAAATTAATTTGAATAGTATATTTCATCTAAACCAATGCATCCAAAGTATTACCATTCTAACATATGATCAGTATAAAAATTAATGAGGTGGGGATTTTTTTTTGGTTCTAGGTCTTTGAAATCTAGGGGATATTTTTACACTTATAGCACATCTCAGTTTGGACTAATTGCATTTTAAGTTCCCAGTCATCACATGTGGCTAGTGCTAGTGTGTTGCACTGAGCAAGTTTAGACATACTCACTGGAATTTGGGGCATGAGATAGAAATCGCCTGTCAGCATTTAGTCACCTAACATACTTTTGACACTTTCCTTCTGTTAGCTCCTTTCTATCTTCTGGAAGAGATTATCTCAAAGTCCACATGCTGTATTAGCAAAAAGTTTTAGGCTTTGGCGCAAAACAGACTACAGGGTTCAAAGACCAGCTTTGTGACCTTGTGCTAGCTGCTTACCTTCTATGAATCTTGGTTTCCTCCACTATCAAATCAAGACAGATGGGCGCCTGGGTGGCTCAGTTGGTTCAGCGACTGCCTTCGGCTCAGGTCATGATCCTGGAGTCCCGGGATCGAGTCCCGCATCGGGCTCCCTGCTCAGCAGGGAGTCTGCTTCTCCCTCTGACCCTCTTCCCTCTCGTGCTCTCTATCTCTCATTCTCTCTCTCTCTCAAATAAATAAATAAAATATTTAAAAAAAAATCAAGACAGAAATAGCTGCCTCGCCAGATGGTTGGGAAGGTTAAGCAAGATGGGAGGTAAGTCCACAGCACGGTCTCGAAGAGTCAGATAGGCAGTCAATCAAGAATTTCCCCGACATAGAACTTAAATTGATTTCCAAGGGGTCATCTCATTATATTTGAGGCTCTACTGCTTCATTCATTCCACATCCAGATCTTTCCCTGGAGGTTTTTCTGCTAAGGCAGTCCCTTCCCCAGACCTTCATCAGGCGGGCCCCCCCCCTTTTAAGCAGGTTTAAGTTCAAGAGTGGCCTCTCTGGGGATGTCTTCTTGCCTGCCCCATTTCAGGCTGCCCGCAAGCGCTCTTACTCTTGAGCCCCCAGCCTCTCTTTACTTTCTTCATAGCATTTCTCAGTATCTGAAATTATCTTATTTCTGCATTTGTTCACCCGCCTCCTATCTGTCACTCTCTCTATCATAGAAATTCCCCAAGAGCCAGGACCTTGTCTGCCTTATTCAGAGATCAGCAAGGGTTTGTTAAATGAATAAATGAATGGATAAATGTTTCACACAGGGAGGTAACTGTAAATGGTGTCCTGATTCTCGAAGTAGTAGAGAGTGAACGTTTCAGAGCTCTTTTCAACCTAAAAGAGTCACTCAGGAAGTTAGTGGCTGAGACCCACCCTTGCCTGCAAGGCCTGGTGTTGCCTAACTTGACTCTCCCAGCTGGATCTGGAAAGGCTTGGGAACATCATTCTTCATAGGCCCTATCATTGTTGCTGACTATTAATATGTATCACATGCAAAGTGTATGTTCACACCACTTAAATCATCTAGAAGATTTGGTTACTCCTGCTCTAAATGCTCTGAAGAAGAACTCGGTTGGGACCCAACTGGCATGACGCAGCCTTCTGACGCCAGAGAGCTTGGCGGCACTAGGCAGTGTGGAAAGAGTGAGCGTCAAAGTCAGACAGACCTGGGCCTGGATCCTGGTTCTTCTGCCTTTTAGCAGCTATGAAGAGTGGACAAGTTACGTAAAATTTTTTAAGTCTCAATGTATCTGTAAAGCTTTAAATGATAATTCATACCCTGCAGCATTGCTATGAGAAAATTAATTGAGGTCACATAGCAAAGTGCTTAGTCCATCTTGAAGGCTCAGTGAAAAGTACGTATCAGTATTGTCATCTTTGCATGCACAAATGCCTTGCCAGCATACTGATCCATCTTTGGAATGACTACTTTGAGGGTATCAAATTTCCTTTTAGGATTCTATTTCTTTCCCACATCTCAACGTCATCCAGCTTCTCACAACTGAGGGGCCATTACCAAAGAGGGAGACCGAGAGAAGCGGAGAGGTACGGAGAGACGGAGTCAGCTGAATTGGCTATATCTGTGCTACCCTTCGAACGATAACAGTGGAGACAATTCTCTTTACAGAGACGGTTTCTAGGGTATCTGGAGATGGATGCAACCATGAGACCACTCCGGTGTCCATGCAGAGAGCTAGCTATTTCATGTTCAAGATTATGGGCCAAAAGAGAATTGGGAGGAAGGGTCGAGAATCCATGTCAGTCTGGACACATTTTATTTGCTGGCCACATAGAGTGCTCTGCTTGACAAAGGTGAAGCAGTAAAACCAACTCTGTGTTTTTGAACACACCCCTCATCTTTGAGAATAATTAGAGCAGAATTGACTTTACACATTCTTTTGTTGACATAAGCCCCATAGAATAGTAAGCTGCTCTAGAAAAGCATGAAACTAACACTTACTGATAACCTCATGTTAATATTAATAATACGAGTTGACTACTGACTATAAACCAGGCATTTCCATTTCTCATTTTCCATTTTCCTAACAACTATGCAAGAAAGGCAGTATTGTTCCCCATTTTACAAACAGGGAACATGAGGCTTAGAGTAGTTCAGTGACTTGTCCAAGTGTGGAGCCAAGATTTGAAGCCCAGTCTTGTGGATTCCAAAGATCCACGTGTCCTCTGCTGTACCCTGCTGGCAATGCCAATGGAAGACTCAGGTCCCACAAGACAGGGGTCCTTGGTACTTTTTTTTATTTTATTTATTATTTTTTTCTTTTGGGGGGGAGGGGCAGAGGAAGAGGGAGAGAATCTTAAGCAGGCTGCACGCCCAGCATGGAGCCTGACAAAATCAAGAGTCAGACCCTTAACCAACTGAGCCACCTAGGTGCCCCAATAGGAGTCCTTACTACTTTAAAAGAAAAGTGCATAGGTCCAAAAGAACTATTACTATTCCTACTATGCACAGGGAGCAAACAGCACTTTGTTTCAAAACAAAGTTTTAGCCTCGCTGTTTGACATCCAGCTAGGTGACCTGAAGAGCTACCTTTGAGACTGTGACTTTCTAGAGGTGGCTGTGTATAGGACTGAAAACTCCAAGGGTGAGGACCTCACCTTTGGAGAGTCATGAAAAGAGTTTGTGAGGAAGGTTCCCCAGGAGGCAGAGATTGGTGAAGCCTTTGGGAAACAGTATCCCAGGAGCTTACTCATAATGGGAATGCTTTTTCCTTCACTAGCATGGCTGACTCCAGACCCCACCAGAGGGCTATAGATTACTTCCATAGCCAGCCCACCTGGGTGGTCTTGATACAAAAGGTCCTCAAAAGGAAGGAAAGGAATGTCTACCTGGGGTTCAGGCATGGTCTTCAGGAGTGTCCACAAACTCTGAGGGATTGCTTGAAAAACTTTATGTACATTACATAAGAACTCCTTGGGAGAACACTCATAGCTAATTCTCAAAAGGACCCATGATGCCCAGTTTTTAAGAACCACTAAAATTAAAATTTTTATCTGCTTCTTCCTTACAATATTCAGCATATTTACCCCATATATATAATATAGTATATATATACACTACACATATAGTATATATTATATACTATATATATAACATATATAATTATATATACAATATACTCTGCATATACACATATTATGTTTAATGATATATATATATATATATAGCCTCTATCTATCTATCTATGGAATGATTAATTTTCCTAAATGTTGCAAAGAAAACCGAAGCCCAGAGAGGATGATTGCCTTGCCTGAGTTTGCACAGCCAGAGGCTGGGCCAGGAATAGCAGTACTCCACTAACCAAGAAGCAGAGACGAGAAGAATCTTTACCAACCAACTTGATGAATGAAAGCAAACGAATCTCTCCAGATTAATAATACTATTTTGCAACCGTTTTCAAGTTCCATCACAGAAAACCCTAAATTGCTTATGAGGGCACCGTGGGCTGCTTCCCCAGGGTACAAGTGGAGGTCACTACAAGGATATTTTCCTGCTGGAAGAACTGGCACCCCCGCCCCGCACCCGGCTCCCCAGTTACCCGCGCGTGCCCGTCCGCCTCCCGAGTCTGCCGCTCCCCCCCGGCGGGCTCTGCTCGCCGCTGCCTCCCGGGGAGGCCCCCCCCCGTCCCGCCTCCGCTCGGGGCTACGAGCTCGGCGGGAGCCTCGGACCCGCCCTGGCGGCGCCCACTGCCTTCGCGAGGGAGCCCCGCCTTTCGGGCCAGCACGGGTGACCCTGAACTTTCCCCACCCGCTGCCCGGAGTCTGCGCCGCCGCCGCCGCCGCCGCTGCCGCCGGGAGGCCCCGCGAGCCCGCGGGCATCACCTCACCTGCCCGAGCCCTTCCCGCGATTTTTTCTTTTCAGTTTGACGTAAATAATTTACATTGCGAGAATCCCACGGTCACGCCGAAACTCACTCTCCAGGGCGCATTCGAAGATGCCTTTAAAAAAGACCAAGGTGTGCTATTGTGAGGGGGAGGGGGCACTTTTAGTTTCTCTCCGAGGGGCCAGCAATGCTGACTGCAGTCGGAGGTCTGGCTTTCGCACCTGCGGCCGCTGCCGGGCAGCGCCTCTGCCGCCGGCGCCTGGGTTCTGCCGCTTTCCTGGAGCCGCAGCCCGCGCCGCACGCGGGCCTCGAACCCGCAGCCCCCGCGCCGCGCGCGCGCGCGCTGCCCTAGCGCTTCTCCCGCCTCGAACCCGCAGCCCCCGCGTCCGCCCCAGGCTCAGCCTGGCAGTGGCTACTCACTTTTGCCTGGGAGCAAAGTCTGCCACATCAGTCCGTGAGCACTTCCTGCAAAAGGACGTGGAGATCCATTGTGTGTAAAGCTGTTTCGCGAACAGCCGGTAAAATCCAGATAGATGGAGAGGATCCTGTAAGACGGAAAGGCGGCGGGGGCGGGGGCGGGGGCGGAGTGGGGGAAGCCCAGAAGACGGGCGGCACAGGATCTCAGCCTGGGCGCCACCGTCCCCAGCCCGGTGGCTCTGGGAGAAGAAGCCTAACTCGGTGCACTTGTTCACTCTTTCTTCATTAGAGGAGGAGTCAGTGTTGCAACATTTACGTTCCTTGCTAGAGGCAAAACAGTGATTTTCTTCAGCATGCAAAATGTCCAGAGCCTGCCAGGTTTACAAGGTGAGGGAGGTGCTCGGGGGAGCCAGAACACAGAGACGTGGGGAAGAAATAACTGATTATCCCAGATTGGTTTCCCATGATTAGGGCCACACATCTTCCACCGAGACTGCCCCAGAAAATACAGAGGCAAAACAATCATAAAAATGGCTTAATAGATCGAATGACCTCGAAGATGGTATTCCTTCCTCCCTGCAGTCAAGATGGGGAGCGCCCTCCTGTCAAATTTCTTTCCTTATCTCTGAATAACAGCAGCTTCACAATATTTGACGGGGGTGGGGGATGGGGGCTCCAGGGAGTTGAATCTCCCCTTCTCTGACAAGAAGGAGGGGTCAGAGTAAAAGGGGCAAAAGAAAATAAACAGTCAGTGACCTAAGCAGGGTTTTGCTTTCTTTTTTGATACCCCACAGCCCAAATTTCCGGGGTGCTGTGATTCTTTTCCACCACACGAGTATAACAGAAACAGTGGTAGGGCCACCCTCTTCTTATTTTCTGCAAATGTAGAATTTATTTTTTCTAATAGGGTTTTTGTTTTTGTTTTGTTTTGTTTTGTTTTTTGGTAATAGCAAAACCATGCACAACTGCTTTTCTCTTGCAAAAAAAGTACTGAAATAAATAGTAACTGCCTGAATCAAATAGATATCCATCAATTACTAAGTTGCTAGTGTCTGTTAGATGCCATTGATTAATACCGCAGCTGATTGTTTCATAACCCAGAAGGGCTATCAAGGAGATACTCTAAACAAAGCCTCTCGAGTTTCCAAAAATAAAAGTTACTGGAACAGGGGGCTTTCCCCCTTTGAGGCCACTTTTACTGTCACTCTGGAATAACTGGCAGATATTTATTGGCAGCCACTTGCTAGGCCTCAGGAATACGTTGAAAATCTCAGGATGCTTTGGTGATCCTTTTGGACTGGAAGCCCACCTACAATCACCCGATTCTTCCTGGTCAGTAACATGGCCAGAGACTCCATCTGGTTCTCTCAGTCTAGGGGGAGATACATCTTTCATGCACAGCCTTCACCTGCTTCCTGTGATCCTCCAGGTACGTTTGCGTCCGCTGTGGGGGCCACAAATGCATGCAACTCCTATTTATTTCCCGAACCGCTGGGGGACATGAGATCTTCAGTGACAGAATATTTCCCTATGACTTTTGCAAGGCAAAGGATTACTCCATTTTCTTGGAGTTGTTCTAGTCAGACAGTTTTAATAGCTGATGAAAAAGATAGCACTCTAGGCAAAGTCCAGACTGTCTGCTCTTGGAAGGTGGGGACCTCGCTTTTCCTCCTGTGGCTCCCAGTCAGCTGTGGGCTGCTCAGCTCCCCTGTGCTCATGGCTTCTGGTGGGTGACAGTTTGGTTGTCTGCTCTGTGGTGCAGGGCACAGAGGCTACTATCCCTAAACCACCAGCAGTCACTGTGCCTCCAAGACCCTGCTCCGTGACTGAATGCTTTGGGCGTGGGTTTGAGTCCTTGCTATTCATATGGCTTTCCTAAACTTCAGTTGTCTCACTGTAAAGAGGATGCTGTAATATATGCCTCAAAAAATAATAATAATGGTGGTTATTAATCACCAGTAAAAGAAATAATAATGGTGATAGCATATCTAAAATGTCTGACAAATACCAGAAAGTCTAGAAACAAATCCTTTCTGCCCCTTCCTCTTTTTTTACCACCTTCCTCAAATATTTCATCTCTTCTGCCCATGGGCTTCTTCATCTTAGCCTACAACGTGCTCACATGTTCCTTGACCCTGGTGACCCTTTTGGTGCTTTACCATGTTCTAATAACTTTTATTAATTTAATTCGCTCCTTTCTGCACCTGTCAAACTTAGTGGGAAAGAATGAACTACACTCCTCAGCTTCCCTGACTCACTACACTTTCCTCTGCCTTTAATTGGTGATTTCTCAACCTTGACCGCACACCACTACCATCATCTGAGGAGTGTTTCAAAGCTACTGTGTGTGTCTGGGTGTCACTTGAAGAGCTTCTAATTCAGGAGGTTTAGGGTGAAGCTCTAATTCTCTGTTTCTCCAGAGATGCACAGGCAGAGTGGAACACCCCTACCCCCATTTGCACCCGGGCTTGCAACCCTGCTGCTCATCCTCTGCTTTCTGGGTGGCGTCATCCTGACCTCTCTGCAGTGCACTGCCTCCCTCCCTTCCTCCTCCAGACGCTGTCATTCCTTGGTTCTCAGCCCCTGCCCTCCCCAGACCCTTTCTGTCCGTGACTTCTCTGGGTTGCCTTTTGCCATGTCTCTCTTCTTTCTCCTCCTTCGTGCCTGGGAACAGTTTTGCCTTTGGATCTTCATCTTTCTTCTTTGAGGACTATATTCCTTTCTCAAAAATTAAAAAAAAGAAAAGAAAAAGAAAAATGCTAAAAATACCAAGAGTGAAAAAAAAAACACATCACAGCACTGTTGAAAAAAATCTTTATCTATAAAGTCAGATATAACCTTCCCAAATCACACACCCCCCTCCTTTCCTCTGACCTTATGTCTTGAGGTGACCGCGGTGAACAGATTGGGGGCATACCTATCTTTTTCCTACCTGTATATCATCATGTCTCCATATGCACATGCAAATATTTTTTAAACTAAAAATGTAACACTTTCTGTGACTTGTCTTTTTTAAGTTTAGTGGAATTATATATTCTAGGTTACTAGCTACAGACTTAACTCATTCTTTTTAATGGCTGTGTAGTTTGTAATTTATTCTACCATCCTTCCATTGTTAGATCTTTGGTAATTTCAGCTTTTTATTATAAGAAGTGCTGCCATGATTATCTTTGCATGTACTTTAGGATAGACATTTAGAAATGGCATTGTTGGGTCAGAGGGAATGAGAACTGAACTTTTGATAGATCACTGCCAAGTTGCTCTCCAAAAATTGTTATAGAAGAAAATCCTAGAAGTGAGATTACTGAATCATAAGGTAGGTAAATAGTCCCCAAATATTTAGCAATATACATTCTTAGTAATATATACTTCTACCAAGGATGTTTTGTCACATTCTTGCCGCCACTGGGTTTTATCAGTCTGATTTTTGCCAGTCTAGTAAGCAAAATATGGTGTCTTATTGTTCTAATTCAGTCTCCTGACTTCTTGGGAGGTTGAGTCCATATGTTTATTATTTGAATTCTTTTTTTATGCTGTGGCTGCTCAATCCTATGCCTAGTATGCTTGTCTTTTTAAAAATTAATCTTTGAGGTCTCTATCACTATTACACATATTAACACCTAGTGAAATCTATTGTAAACATTTCTCTGTCCTATTTCCCTTGATTTTGTTTATGGACTATTTCACTGCACATAAGTTTTGAGTTTTCATCTTGTCAAATCTGTCTTTTATATTCCAGAACATAAGGCTCTGGGTTTCCTCTATTGCTTCTTTGCTTCTAATACTGTTAGTTTTTTAACAATAGATTTTTAATTATCCTAGGAATTTTAAAAAATATTACAAACATTGTATTTATCACATTTTATATTATATTTATAAATATTATAAATATATTATAAATATGACATATATTAACTTTTGTGACCAAGCAATATGTTAACATATTACTATATTAAATACTATATGTAAATTCCACACATTAAATGTAATTTTTACTTGTAAATATTATATATATTAATTTTCTTCTGAATGCATAGTGAATTATCCCATTACCCTTTATTGAAAAATCCATGATTTCTCCAATGATTTCTAATGTCAATGTCATACATTACATTTACATATATATTTATATCTATTCTGGGCACTACCACATTCTGTTTGCATGCCAATAATGCACAATTTTGCTAACTGTATTATAAAAATTGTGTATTATAATACCTCTTAGTGCAAGTCTTTCCTTTTAAAATTTTCTTGATAAATGTGATATTATTTTTTTCATAAAATTTTAGGATCAATTTGTTCAAATTATTTTTTTAAATTTGTTTAAATTAGAAAAAATTTCTTTGGCATTACATTGCATTTATTTATTAATTTGAAAAAAAATTATAGCATTGAAGTGTTAATTCTTCCACCCAGGAAATATGTTTCTGTGTTTATTCAGGTCTTTTAAAAATATTCTTCAATTCTTTCTTTAATCTTATAATGTCCTTTTTACTCTTATTGCACAATAATTTACTGAATTATACCATCTTATGAACATTTCGGTTGTTCCTAAACTCTCACTGTTATAAGTAATACTACAATGGACTTGTCTGTGGAAAGAAATTTTGCCTTTGGGGAAAGAAATTTAGCCTAAAATCCCAGTGAGACATAATTAAGTCAAAGGGCATGCACATTTTTATGGTCCTTGAGATATAAAAGCTTATCTTTTCTGATGGCTTCAACTGTTAATGTTCCCTCTGTCACAATCTCCATCCAATCAGGCACAAATATCTTTCTATCCCTTTCCACGGTCAATGCTCCAGGTCATTCCTTCATCATTTCTCACTTCTTCCCCTTCCAGAGCCCCCCCGCCCCCCGCTGGATGGCCTCACTCTCCCCAGCCTTGCCTGTGTGAAACTCAAATGCTCCCATGCTGAATCTGATTAGATCACTCCCTGAATTAAAATTCTTTAATGGTACGTTCTTCCCACAGATTAAAGTTACAATGTCTTTGCTCCTCCTGATCTTACTGGTTTGGGGAATAGTAGCTCAATCAATAT